CCCATGTCGCTGCCATTGCCCTCGGCGTCCAGACACCCTCGAGGTGTCTTCAAGAGAGAAGCAATGGTTGGCACTGCTAACCCTGAGGACAGAGACTGGTTAGGTGGCCAATATAGGGAACAAATTGAGGATTCGCGTCTGATTCTCTCCTTTCCATGCAGAGAAGCACACTGGAGCTGTGGTCACAAGAGCCACGATAACCCCTTCCCCATAAACTGGCGCGCATGGCCAGCTCCCTCCCAGAGGCTCGGCAAGCCCTGAGGTCCCTGGTGAGCAGAAGCAGGAGGCAGAGCTGGAGGGTGCAGCAGGGCTGTGCTTTGCCGCCGTGGTGTTGCTCACTCAGCTCTGGGATGAAGGGGAACAGGGAGCTGCTGAAGGTGAGCAAAGGGCATCCGCGGCGCAGTCCTGAGGGGCTATGGCGAGTTCAAGGCGCCAAGTAAAACCTGCACATCGCTCTTGAGACCGCATCTCCCCGTTATCCTGGAGACTTTGACGAGCTAACAAGGCAGCCGTCAAGATCCAGGCTAATTCACAGCCAGATAGGCTCCGAGGATGTGTTTAATTGGAAATTGCTTTCATGGCAGAAGGCAGAATGTGGACTTAGATAAGAAATATCAAAACCAAGGACAAAGAGATGCTGGGAAAGCACCAGAGCCTGAAGGTCCTGCTGGGCCTGGGGAAAGCTCCTCGAGTTTTTCCTGTGATTCCTGCATGATCAGCAGCCCTATGGAATAATGACAACCTCTCCAGGGATGAGTTTGTCACTCGGACTCAGTGACTCTGGCTGTGCCCCACTGCAGGTCCCTTCTCTCCGATTTGCATCTCTTCACCCTCAGCAGAAACAGGGGCCAAACCTCCAGTTCAGAATAAAGGTAAAGCTGCAGGGGTGGACATCATTTTTTCCAGAAACGATGCTGCTGAGTCGCTCAAAAGCCTGTTTTCCCTTGGCTTGGACTAGTTAAGCCTCAAAATTCAGCTTATATAGCTTGTCCTTTTTGCATTCCTTCTCCATGGACCAATTTTCAGTTGTTTAGCAAGAAATAAGTCAGTAAATAACTGTTGAGGAGGGATCTGATTTGGTAGATTCTGTGTCTGTCACAGTCATTGCAGAAGCATTTATTTTACTGAAGTGAACTGTTTTCATCCAAACAATGCTGGACCGTCAGGCTTGCTCTGAGTGACGGTGACTTCAGTGTCCGGACGGACCTTTAAGCTGTGGCTGAGCAGAATGGAAATCGGAGCAGGTTGAGATCATCGGTAACATCCGAATCCAGCAAATCTCCATCTTCTGGGAGAAATAGAAGGAAAGTAACTTTCTGTGCAATTTCCATTTTACCCTATCTTCCCTGATTTAATAGGTACATTTAAAACTGATTGACACGGAGAAATTATTCCTTTATCCCTTCAGCTGCAGATTTGAGGTCTAATTAAAACTACTTGTACTGCTTTAAGGGCTAAATTCTGATCCGTGCAAGCAGCGTAAATCCTTCTTTGTTGCAGCAACGACTTCCCCGTTTCGGTTAAACGGCGGCTGGAGGGTTGGTCAGAGCTGGGCTGGTTCTGATCTGAGCTCACCTACCTGGGAGCATTCCGACGACGCTAAAGCAAATC